ACTCAACAACTGTGGCAAGGAAGGTCATAGAATATCTTGCTGAGCAACAGAAATTTTGGGGCTTGATTGTGGCTGTAAGTCGAGGACTACCTCTATGTTATTACAAATGCGTTACTGTCTTCATATGTCAGTAGAGAAAGTTAAGATTAAAAAATTAAGTATCGTTAAAAATGGTTCTGTTAAAAAAAATGACTCTGGCACAGCTTATGATTATAGTCAGACATTTATTGCCTTGGAGACTGAACTCCAGGTACAGACGCTTAACATCCTCAAGCATTTTTTTTTTAAGACACATCATACATTGCAGGGGTTCAAGCAACAACTCCTTCTTGGAAATACAATCCTTAAGAAAAGAGACTAGAGGCCATTTGCACATTCTTTTAACAAGTATTTGCAGGGCCAAAGCACAGACTGGCAGCTGATTGGCACTTTTGCCTTGCTCACATAGCATATGTAGGTTAGCAGTAACTTTTTCCAACTGTTAAAACCAAAGTCAGAAGGCTGGGACATTTGCGCCATGCAGGCTGTGTCTGAGTTTACACTGAATGTGACACAGGTCCTTCAGATGTGTCTCATTTGACAAAAAGAGAAACGTCTGGAGAAACAAAAAAGAACAAGCAGAGAAAGAAATTCAAGTCCTGTGTGCATTAAAAACGTGGAAGGATTCAGAGCCAGTCATCTCAAGCCAAGGACCATGGGAACTGTATTTCAAATTGCACTGCATAGCTACAAACTAGAGCCCCCAAGATTCAGTGGAGGAACTGCGAGAATAACATTAGTTAAAATGTGTCATGTGAACAATTCACTTCTCTAACATCAGGCTTTGAAATTGAGGATGTGCATAAACCATCAGCCCAAAGCTTTGTCATTTCTAATGACCCCAACAGAAGTGGGGTAAGTAGACAGGGAATTGTCAAGGAGAAAATGTGCAAATGTATCTGCACTTTGCTCTGAAAACATGAAATCAAAAGTCAGACGCGGCATTTCTTTTCTGTCTTTTGTGACAGGCTTCATGTCTTGTCAGCTGAGGAGCTGCTCTTTTCAGATTCCCCTGAAACATTTGCATGGATTAGGGTTTTTTTTTTTAACATTTAACTCTTCACTAAACTAGACTTCTGTCATTCACATTGTGGAATAGCTTTACCAAGGCACTGGGGTATTTCTCCTGCTGAACAAAAATTTAATTCTATTCATCTTCAGCCCCAATGGGGTTTCTGTGAAACCAGAAATGAAAATCTTTGACAGCATGAGCCATGTGAAGTGAGAAATGAATTGTTGACTGACATATAATAAATTATTATCAACAAAGTTGTAAATATTCATCTTTGCAGCTTTGAGCAAAAGTTTGGAGCTCAAAGTAACAGAAAATCTTCATGAGAAGAAGGTTGCTTTAAGATGTGCTAGTAACAGACACTCTTCATATCAATGTCCAAAAATTCTATCCAGTGAGAGCCAATATGTTTGCTGTTACATAGGATGACCAACTCTTCATATCTTCATAAAAGGGAATAGTTGCATAGTGTGGAAGAGGTTAAATGTAGCTTCTCTGAACAGAAAATGGGAGGAGGAGGAGGAGGAGGAGGAGGAGGAGGAGGAGGAGGAGGAGGAGTTGTTGGGGGTGGGAGGGAGAAGACAGTGGAAACAACTGTCATTTTATAACTGTCTTCCACAACTTATTTCATACCACGGATGTAAAATTTCTGTAAACAGCTGAACAACTCACACATTATCCAGTTCACAATGATAAACTTAACAAGTAGTATGTGGTCACAGAGAAGCATTTTGTGCAAATGAAACTTATACTTGAAATCATTCTTAGTTTTCGCCAACAGACAACTTGTGTTTTAAGAAACCAAGAGAGCCAGTTTGGCTAAGTATTCCACACCTGAAAGCAGGTTTCTTTTCTATTTCAGTTTTGCTTACTTTTTCTTTTTGAGTTCAACTGAGGATAAACTATTGTAAATTTATCCATTCATAAGTTATGGACTGTCCAATAAACAATCAAAATAATCCTTTTTCTCACAGCTAAATCATATACCCATGGTATCTCTATGGCCTCTAGTCTCAAACTTTCTTTTTCAAGTTTTTATGCACATCTCTACTAGCTATTAAACTATGTTTTGGTAGCACACATTTTATTCTGGCAAACACATTTCTGCAGAAATAAATTAAGATATCCTGAGATAAGCTGCTATGGATCGAGGGCATAAAGGAAGACAGGCTGTTTCAAAATACATTTTATACTTGGTATATGAGAAGTAACTAACACCTTGGAAATTAAGCTTAGCACCTAGAAGTTTTCAAGTAACAACTGCCAACAAGCTAATTAAGATTTATATGATTTAAAAATAAGAATGACTTAGAATTATTAGTGACATATAGTATTTACACAGAAACAAAGACCAAGGGATAAGGTGAACCGTGGATCACCTCTACTTCAGTAAATGGCATTTTATAAACTAAATGAAGAAAAAGCAGCAAAAGAAAATCAGAGAGATATTCTGATCTTTTGAAATTAAGTTTCAATAAGGGAACAAGATTCTGGTAAGAAACTTCTGCCCTTAAGTAACTGACAGAATATTGTAGAAAACAAAAAACAGAAGTGACAAATAGTGATAATATAAAATCAATATGCAAACAGTATTCTATTTTACAAATATGGATGCACCAAGGAAGTTTGGCTTTGATCATTTAAACAAAATACTAGGGAAAATATTAAACTTAGGTTGTTGTTTTTTTAAAAAAAATCAAAATAAAGAGCTGAGAATGATGCAAACAGGTAAACTGAATCAAAACACTGAAGTGTATATTCAGCTTTTGATGTCAAAAAAAAGGGAGAATGCATGTTAATTAATATATAGTGTATATATTATACTGACAGTGTATTTGGTTCAAACGTGGAAATGTCTCATTAATGGAAAATCATACAACTAAATTTGAATAATCCAGTCTAATGCTAGCTTTTGACCCTATTGCTGAAGTATATGAATCTGTCAAAAATTCCAGAAGACATGGTATTAATGTTCAAAAAAGAAGGGAAAAATTTTCAAAAAGTAATCGAGTGAGTTAAAGAACTCCTGAGGAATAGTAAAACTTTGTGGTCATCCAAGAGAAGTCAAAATTGATATCAAACATGGATCCAGCCATAAGACACTTATAATAAAGAGTCCACAGGGAGTGGATGATGTAATGTTACACATGATATCACTGAAGCTTCTACTGAACTTTTGTGAACTGACTCTTAACTATCAATCTAGATGCATGTCCTAGGAAATATATCTGAAGGCACCAGAGAAGACTATTTTGGAAAGAACCTCATGATGTTATACATTACACATGAGGTTGGAGAAAGTCACATGAGAAAGGGCAACTAGAGGTTCCTGCAGAAACTGAAGCTACCTCACATCAAAACATATACTAATTTTTTTTAAAAAAAAAACATAGAATAGCAAAGAAAGAAGATACTATGGAAGACACACATTTTGCATATATCATTCCCATTTTTTTAAAACAAATACAATTACACAAACATTTGCTTGCATCCTACACATATTGCTTCCTAGTTCCTTTCCTTCACTTTACCATATTTACTACCAATCACCGGATTACACGGTTGACATAAAATTTGATGTTTTGAGTCATTTAACACTAGGGACAATTAAATGTTACGTGCATTGTCACACTTTAACCTAATTTAAAGTAAAACTTGAGAGTGGGAGCCACTCAACTTTCTCCTCATGCATTTGCATTGAAAATCGCCTTTCATGATTATTTTTATCTTTTTTGAGAGCTCCAGAAAAGATGGGCTTGATGTGGCTCTTCCACGGGCTTCCCTGTTTTATGCAATTCAGGGCTCCAGCATCCCAAAAAGAAATTGGTTTTCCATTAGTTGCTGGTGGAGTGGTGGCAAAACTTTTAGTCACCCTAGGAAAGTGTTTAGAAGAAGTAATGACGTTTTCTTTTAATTGCCTGTTAAGCATCACATGCAACAGCAAAGCTACATGCTTTCTAATATGCTTCTGATACCCCAAAATATTATCTGTAAAAAAAAAAATCTGATGATTTCTCCCTCCCTCAAATACTTGATTTTTACCCGCTGGAGAATATAAGGCAAAATGCCCTTGGTTTTGGCATTCAGACAAAAATATATCACAATTGACCTTTGCCTAATGCAACTCAGTCATTAGATTTTCTAGTTATTTTAGAAATGCAGAATGACTCACGAAATGTATTGTATTCATTATAATTTTATAGATGCTTTGGAATTCAATTTTAATAAAATTGTAAAAGATCTTATGGCATTTCTCCTACTTAAGGGAATCTTCTCTAGCTATTGATGTGTTTAACACACTCCCCATAAGCAGAGTTGCTATTTTATAGTGCCCTAAACATTTTCATGGCATGGTCCATATACATGCATTGTTACCTCTTGCACCATTCTGACAGATGCTGAAGGATAGATACATAGGTGCAGTGAATAGCACCAATTTTGGGGCAAATCATCATGCATTCTTTTCAGCAGCTTTAAACATGCTTCTGAAGAACAAGCAGTATCTGAGAAGGATAACTGAGAGCCCAAAAAAGAATTGGAAAAATCCCAGTAGATATTGCAAACCAGGTATTTTCTGCAGTTACTAAAAGTTGCTGGGAAATCAGATTCCCAAAGCCACCAGATAGTACATAGCAACATCAAGCATACATTCAACATTTTCTTTTTTTTAAACCGCATATGTATATCTTAGTCTCTATTGTTAAAGACAGAAAAATGGATGAAAAAAAAGCTACAAGTTCTGGGTTGTTGAAAAATACACTGAAGCAAGCTCAAACCAGAGAAGCTGCACCTATTGTCTTGCAGGTAGAAATGGGTAGGAAAACAAGTAGAGAAAATTGGGGGGAAGGCCCAGTTTTTATAAATATCAAACAAATGGTCAAAGACGGCTTTCAGTCACTGAAAAAGAAAAAAGATGAACTGGTAAGGAAAGTTGTTGTTTTTTTAAAAAAAATTAGACTAGTTGCAATGCAAACTCCTTTTTCTTTCCATTTGTTTTCAGAGAATGGGACTCCTTTAGGGCCTGCAATGCAAAGCTGGACCAGTCCTTTGGGGGCCCCTGTGCATAGTGTATGGAGAAGAGAGAGATGGCTTCAAGCAAGCTAATTCCTACAGCTGTAACTCTTTTTCACAAGCTTGCAGCATTCTGTCCCTTAATTCACATTTGTCATGGAAGTGTCAATGTCATGTGGCTTTTCCAGACCCACTTAGCCAGTTGTATATACTGCAGAATTTAAATATTTACTGTATAAGGAAAGTCGCTCCACATCCAAGCCACACAGCCTGTGTATCTCCCAAAGTTTAGGACATCTGTTTTGGGAGAGACCACATCAGCTGTAGATAAATTCTAGTCCACTCAAACAGACAATTGGCTCAAGTCTCTAGGTCTATAATCCTCTTCCTCTTTTGGCTAAAAAGAAAAAGAATTAAAATACTGTCTCTTTTCACCACTGCGCTGCTATGCCTGGAATCAGTCAATGAGATCAATGTGCCAGGTGAACAAGCAGCACATTTTCTCCTCGAATGAAAATCTGGTTTATGTGTCGTGTAAACACTTGCTGATAATCCACTTTGGGCCTCTGCTTCTTTCGGGAACGGCCTCTTTTGCCACCCGTGCTCTTCTCCTCTACTTGGGAGATTCTGCTGGGCAAATCCATGTCTCTCCCAGAGACTTTTGGCAAACTGGAGCTTCGTGTCCTCTCTCTGCTGGCGTGCTTCTTTGCTCCATGTTTCTCCTCTGATCTTCCCCTACCTGACTCAGATTTCCTCCTCGATCTCCTTGGATCACATGGAAGGGCTGGCAAGTCCGTGGCTGTCTTTGAATCGGCTTCTCTTTTAACCAAGGACTCCTGCAATCTCAGTCTGTCAAAGAGCTATAGAAAAACATTGGAAATAAATTCACAAGTCATAAGAGATGGCACAGAGTATTTTATACTCTGATTGACCTGTTCAAATGATAAACTAATCTCTTTTGTCCAATTAACATTTGTAAGTCAAAGATTTAGTAAATCCTCTTTTGAAAAAGAGAGGATCTATTTTTCCTTAGTCAGCAAGTTCTCCAAAAGCAATATCACTTAGACCTACAGTATATACTGCTTCATAGTGCTTTACAGCCCTCTCTAAGCAGTTTACAAAGTCAGCATATTGCCCCCAACAATCTGGGTCCTCAGAAGGATGGAAAGCTGAGTCAACCCTGAGCTGCTCAGAATTGAACTCCTGGAAAGTGAGTAGTGAGTTATCCTGGAATACTGCATTCTAACCACTGTGCCACCATGGTTCCTTGCATTTTCTATAGACATGACCATGCATGATTCACACATTTCTCGCACAGTACACATACTATACAGATCTGTCAGTAAAAAATCTGCCACAATCATTGATGCAGCTGATTTGAATTAAAATACCTCTGGGGTGGGATCATTTCAATTTTATATAGTAGCCAGCACACTGGCAATATTAAATGTTAAATGGTAGTAATGTACATATATTTACACTTGAAAAATCTAATGACAATTTGTTGTGATCAGCTGAGGAAGGGTGCAAGCTCACCCTTTCAGTTATTGCTGCATAGTAGGAGAAAGGCTATCACAGGACAAATCACTGATAGCAATCACTGCTACAACTCTTCCCAATCAAAACAACTGTAAGACATTAAATGTTAAATTATGTGTCAACTGCTCCTATTACTGAGCTTAGAATATTCCTCCTAAAGCAAGCAAAACTTGCATCAATATAGTGAAAGCAAAATCTGCATCCAGGATTTTTACAAGACATAATTTCTAAGAGAATAGATAAATATAGGGACTGACTTCTCCTTTTGATGTTTCATGTGTGAACTCCTGGTTTGTTTTTATTTAAAAAGGTTTCTGTTTTGTATTTATATGTACATTCAAACTTTACTCTCAACTTCCAACATCTATCAACTACTGCTGGTTAATAAATAGAGCTTGCCAAGGATGGTGCTAGTGAGCACTCAGGATAAGTCTATTGAGCCACGGTGGCGCAGTGGTTACAGTGCAGTACTGCAATCTACTTCTGCTGATCACTGGCTACCAGCAGTTTGGCAGTTCAAATCTCACCAAGCTCAAGGTTGACTCAGCCTTCCATCCTTCTGAGGTCTGTAAAATGAGGACCTAGATTGTTGGGGTGGAAATGCTGACTCTGTAAACCGCTTAGAGAGGGCTGTAAAGCCCTGTAAAGCGGTATATAAGTCTAAGTGCTATTGCTATTCACTTGTTGAAATGACACATGAATGGATAAAAATCTTACTTTCTCCTAACATTTGGCAGAAGGCAATAGAAACAAGCTCCTATTTGCACTCTGCAAACAGCCTGAAGCAAGATCAAAGGCCTTTCCTAACTTTACACACTTAGGGAGGGATGAGCTTAGTAGTAATCCTGGTTATTGATCTGGTAGTTAGCCAAACCAAACTTTGTGGACTCTTGATGATTAGGCCAACTTCACCCCCCAACATGGATCAAATGTATTGACGAAGGAATATAAAGAAGAATGAAAGAGAAAAACTAGCATGTAAGATCATCCTCGTTGGATCACTCTTAAGCCTATCTACTCCAGCATTGTGTTCTACAGTAACTGACCCAAGTGTCCGTGAGAATCCCACAAGCTGGTAAAGAAAGCAGCAGTGCTTCTGCTTCCCAAGCCCTGCTACACAGACATTTTGTAAATTCTGGTTCTGATTCTTTGAGTAGACTGAAATTTAGTTTCTATAGCATTAGGAGATTACTGTAACTCTGATGAATCTAGGAATCAGTTTTAAATCATTATGAGTTTCTGGTGATGTTACAAACATTTAGTAATAAAAACAAAAATAAGGTGAGAGTTACTAAGTCAAACCTCTGGAGAGCAAGAGACTAAACTCTGAACAAACTTAACTCCCAATGATTGTATCAGGCTACATCTCCACCGATCAATAAAAGAAGACAGGAAAGAGCCATGTCTTTTAGAAACATGTGTGATATTGTGGAGAATGGAAACTTACTCTGGTGAGGGTCAACTGTGGCTCCACATAGAAAGCTTTACCCAGCACTGGTTTTCGGTATGTCTCATCTACATCAGTCAGGGCCTGGTGCAAGGCAAATAGGCAGAAAGACTTAAAACATATAGGATCTTCTTACCATAAATTTTGAAATCACAGTGGGGAAAGATGACAGGAGTCAGGAGGATATCAACATAAACAAATGATTTGATACTTGTTCTCAATGTCTGATTGAGATATTGTAAAGCAATATAGGATTTTCTCCTTGCTCACCAGCATTTTTATTTTATTATGAGAATAAGCCCATTCGGATATACTTAGGCATTTAAGAGCAATTCCATAGACTTAAAATAAAAGGCCAGATTCTTTTGACATTTTCTTGCATTGGAAGCGCCACTCCCCAAAGTCCTGCTAACTACATACATTCGTATGGTGTGTGGTCTGAAGTTTTCAAGTAAATGCTAGTAATATTAAGATATTTACATTTTAATAACTGGAGCATTGAAGGGTTGGACAATGAGTAAGAACAAACAGTTACAGCTAATTAGTTAAAGAGAGCTGGCCACTGCTTGAGGGAACCTGAGCTGTACTTGGTTGCTGTAAGAGTAAAGGGGGAGTTTCCTTGTTTCCCGCCTTTTTGTTCTGTGTGTTGTGTGTGTGCTCTCTGTGATTTACCTGATGATGTTCCTGCTAGGTTGATTTTCCTGACGATGCTCCTGTTTGCCTTATTTACTGTAAATATATTTATTTATATAAAGCTGGTTTGTTTTGGGCACCAGCTGTGCAATTCCCTGACATTGTAAAAACCATAGAAGAGAAATGTTCAGGATTACCATATTCCAGAACTTGTCAAATGCAACCAAGAATCCAGTGCAGACACCACGAAGCCCTTTGAAAGTTCGGATATGGACATTGACCTTTACGCCATCACGGACACAGCGGTGGAGTTCCCCAAGTGGACTGCCTTCATGAACTGGAAAGTAAGATAACAACCATCATTTTCCATAAAGCGAAACAAACAGTTTGCAGCTATTATTGCTATTATTATTTGAATTATATTTATGCCCACAAGGCATAAGAGAGAATGCCTACAGCAATGGTAGGATTCAAATTTTTTTACTATCGGTTCTGTGAGCGTGGCTTGGTGAGAGTGGTGTGGCTTGGTGGGGTTGGCTTGGTGGGTGTGGCAGGGGAAGGATTCTGTAAAATCTCCATTCCCACCCACTTCTGGGGTCAGTTACTGCAAAAGCCCATCCCCCCCACCCAGTAACCTGCTTTCCAGCTCCATTCTCCTGTGGAGGGCAACAAAAGAAGACCCAGCCGATCAGCTGGGACTCAGGAGGGAGAGAATAGATGGGGGAAGGGCCAATCAGAGGTGGTATTTGCCGGTTCTTTGAACTACTCAAAATTTCCGCTACCGGTTGTCCAGAACTGGTCAGAACCTGCTGAATACCACCTCTGACCTGCAGGAAAATTTTGCATTGTATTATTCAGAACTGTCCATCTCAAAGTTCCCAAATGTTCTGTCTTTCTTCTTATTAAGCATTAAATGACCTTTTTTTCATCCCTCTAAAACCAAAAGAATAGCACATTTCTATTCAGTGAGAATCATTTAACCAAATACTGTATAATAGTTTTCCAAACATTAACAAGTATTATTCTTAATGTCATGGAATTTATTTTTCTCTGGCTTTAGGCACTGCAGACATACAGAGTTTATGGGTATGTAATTGGATATGCAATAGTGATGAAATTGATTTTTAGCACAGTACACATGCTTAATAACCCAATTCTCAATGATTATTAAAAGGTTGTCACTATGCAGTAATCAATATTTCTGGTTGATAATCATGTCAGTAACCAAACAACAATCAATGCAGTATAAATTCTAATCTTTCAAATGATTAGTCTTTTATAGCTCATCATTTATTATAAGTGACATAAATAAATATACCAGCCATCTCTCTGGATAACATTAAACGATCATGTTAGCATTAAAAGGATACTGAATCATATAGTATAGAGGTTGCAGTCCTTGATTTACTATTTTTAGGTGGATTCTATAAGTGTTTCACTTATACACAGATATTAGGAAGGAGGAAATGTCCAGGAATGGTTCTAACCATTGGCAACAGCTCTTTCTTCTGGAGAGGAATCTTCTTAAAATATAGTACTCTGCAGATGCTCCAAGCCAATACAAAATTCTTCTTTCGCCCCAGCTTCCTATCATTTAAACAACCTTTCATTACCTAGATACCTCTTGTACAGTGGGTTTAGGTTGTGACTATTGACAACCAAGTGTAGGCTGGCTGAGGAAATCTATGAGTTGTAATCAACCTATCTTGAGGATGTCCAGGTTGGAAAGGAGTACACAAGGTCACACTTAACAATATGTAATTTTGTTACTTCACTGCGAATTTCCATACTATACTATGCTACTTCCATGGCTATTGGAATCTGGAATTTCTTGGAAGATTCATTGAAATGAGTTCAATAACATTAAAAGCTTCTATACTTTATCAGCCAGATGAGAAGTAATGATAAATCCTTTTTTGGTATTATCATCTTGTATCACTCTGAAACCACAAGCCAAATAAGTTAACCTTTTTCTCTTCTAAAGATAGATAGACCGCTGCAGTTATTTGGCATTTTGCAGTTATATATACTGTATGTATATATAAATTAAACTAAAATATTAATTCGATATATTCCATTTGTACCACTCTTTTCACTTCCAGTACAGGTATTCAAATCATAGCTGAGAAACTAGCTGAAAGTAATGGGAATGTGGTGAAAAGATTTAATATATGATCTCAAAACAAATAGCAGACATCAACATACAAGCTTGCCTATTATTCTATTATCATAATTTCTGCTCTATATTTATAAGCCTGAAATAGAGTTTAAAAACTAGGATCATAACAACCTCACTATTGCTACAACAGCTGCAAAAGACAATGTCAAGTTCTAGGTTTTCAAAATGCTGCTTGCAGCTTTTTCTCCATGTCTAATCATTTTAATTCAAACCTGAAAGAATAAACTTTGGAAAGGTGGGGGGAAGCAAGTTCCTGCAAATAACAGACTTGTGTCAATTAGGAGGCTGTGAAACATTTTGAATTATATGGAACAGTATAATTTTGAAATGAGTGGTTACCAGAATGATCAGCACAACATAAGAACACTTCCAAGTAAGGTTTAAATAACTATATTGAACCTAAGATATTATTTCAAATCTGAAACATTTAAAACCCAAAATCTCCTGCATGCCGTTAGTATTAGCTACTAATAGCCAGATCTTCTCAGAACAACCTTTGAACATTATTTTAGAATGCAGAATAAAAATGAAAAAATGCCTTACATTTTAAATGTACTTTTGAAAGCTGTTTGCTATATAGTCACAACATGCTGGAGAAAATACAGGCAGTTTCTACCGGTATGCACCAAAGACAAATTCCTTGTGTGTCCAATCACACTTGGCCAATAAACAATTCTGTTCTGTTCTATTTCTATTTCTATTTCTATTCCATTCATCCGAGATCCACAGTAGGGCTTTTACTTTGAAGTTACTCTGAATGTCATCTAAACAAGAACACTTAACAACATCCAGAACATCTAAACCAGTAGAACCTTCAGATCCTTTATTTTCCACCAACGATGGTTCTATTATCAGAAATAGTTCCAAGCCGACTTCCGGTTTGAAGGGCTTCGGCGACAGACAGAAATCCGCGATCGTGCACGGTTTCTGTCTGGGCTCGCCGCTGGAGCGCCCCGAGCCGGCTGGTTTCGGGGCTAAGCCACCCCGTAGAGGTGGTGAAGAGGGGGGAGACCGCCAGCAGGGTTGAGGAGAGCCACATCTCTCCTCCTCAGCTGGCCATTACTCCCTTTCCTGAAGGCGGTTGTAGAAATGGCCACCACAAAGGAGAACTCGACTGGAAAAGAATGTGCAGGAGGAAGATAAGAAGTGAAAGTTTTGGCTGACCGGGTTAAATTGTAAAAGCAACAACTAAGGTACCCTGGAATTTAAGCTTACAAAAAATAACATCGCTCCCAAAGAAGAGTCGGAAGCAGCGAAGGAAAGCTAAAAGGGAAAGGTTTGGCTTTTTTTTTTCTTTTCTCTCCTTCCCTATATTGACAACTAAGAGACTTAAATAAGAAATCGGAAAAATCCGCTTTGACATCAATAGGCAATTAAGCTGAAAATAAAACAAAATGCCAAAGGGATAATAAAGATTTCTGGACATTAAAATTTTTCTTTTTCATAAGCAGGAAGGGAGAGAAAAAGAATAAGGGCAGGATCTGGAAGAGGGAGGAGACTGCCTGGAATTAAAAAGAATCTACAGTAAAACTTCAACAAGACTTCTAAAAGATACATTTTAACTGAAACTTTGCAACTAAATAGTAACCCCAGGAAGAGAAAGTGAAAAAAAAAGAGCAAAAAAGAAACAGCTTGCGTGTATTTGGATTATTTGGTGATCTTTGGATTCTTGGTTATTATATTTGAATGACTAAAATCAATCGGGTGGTTGTTTAAAAATTTATACAATGGCACCACTTCTGGATGAATTGAAAATGGAACTTAAAAGTACCAAGAAGATGCACAAGAAGGGAAGGGTTCTTTTGGCTTCCTTTTTCAATTCTTAGAAATGGAGATTTGGAACTATGAGAAACAACAAGAAAAGACTGCAAAACAAGAAGACTGGGACAAAGAAGAAGCCATCTTTAATGAACAAGCAATTTTATGTGGGGAAGAAAAAGGAAAGGGGGGAAAGAGAATGGAGAATTTAAGACTTAAAAAAACAACCAAAGAAAAGAAAAATAATTCGAAAAATAAGTATAATACTGGAAAGCAACAGAAAAGGGGAATGCAGAAGAGAGAAATAGAGGTAGAGAGACAAGGGGGTAAAAAGGGGAGAGAGAAGAAGAGAGGGAAGAAGGAAAGGAAAAGAAGTTACAAAGGACCGGGGCAAGATATAGAGAAACAGGACCTATTTAGAGATAATGGGTGAAAATCTAACTAAAAAAGGGATTCTGAAAAGGTACATAAGATTGTATTGTTATATTAGTAATAGAAATAACTTTAGAAAATTGGAAACAATGTATGATTAAAATGAGGGATAAAATAGTTAGTGTAATTTAGTGAAATGTTTGTGAATAAAATAAGTGAAATAAAATAAATGAGAAAATTGAATTAGGAAGGAACGGGAACATTTTAATTAGTTAATGTTTCATAAAATATAAGTGAAGAGGGAGGGGGAATTAGCTATGGAAAGCTTATAATTGTTCCCATAGAAGTATGATATTTAATTGAAAAGTAATGTTAAAGATGTTAAGACTTTAATGAATATTAATATTAATGATAGAATTGAATTGGAATGGAATGTTGTTTTAATTATATACATTTATAATTTTTTCTTTTTTTAAGAATAGTGTGTATTTTAAGAATGTACCAAGCAGAATCCGAATGGAAGTTATGTATTATATTGAATGTTACAACTTTAGGGAAAAGATATAAAGGCGTCATACTCCAATCAGTAACTACAGGAGAAATTTTGTTTAATGAGAAAAGATAATAGATAATTGAAACAGGACAGACAAAAAATATAAATACAATTATTTGAATTAAGACAAGATAATTAAAATAAAATTGAGAAAATTAAAAGAGGGGAGAAGCTATGCAGAATATGTAAAATAGTAATAAGATATGGAATAGAATATAAAAATGAGCATGAACCTGAATTTGTGTCTGTACGAAGAAATGTAACCCGGGATTACGCTACTTTCAAAAAAGATGTTTTATTTGTATTTTTTTTTCTCTTTGTGAAAACTCAAATAAAATTTACCAAAAAAAAGAAAAAAGAAATAGTTCCAAGCCATTCTACTTCAATTCCTTATGCTTAAGAATGTCAGCAATATTTTAGTGTTTTCCCAAGAAAATACCTTGGACAGTTCTCTCACTCTTCTTATTGTTGTTCCATCAGAAAAGTAATGTTCATTAGCCAATTATGATCATCTCTGTAATCAATTTTCAAGCAGTCCAGTAACTGTGGCATTCAATTTATTAAAGCTCTGTGATCCCATGGTGAAACTGAGGAGGCACAAGCAGGGATGGGATGCTACCGGTTCTGCCTGGCTCTATAGAACCGGTAGCTCTGAAGAGTAGCAGACACAGAACCGGTTCTGTGTCTGCTGCTGTTTGGCCCACCCGCCCGCCTAGGCTCTTACCTGTCCTTTATTTTCTGCTTTTTCAACCTCAGCTGCTTTGCACGGCACAGCTGGGGTTGAAAAAGCAGGAAAAAAAAGTGGCTTTTCAAATGCTGCGCACCTGTGCGCAGTGCTTTTCAGCTGTCCCGCGGCACAGCTAAAGATTTCCTTACATGCGCACGTAGCAAAATGTAATCACCGAACCAGTAGTAACACCGGTTGAATCCCACTGGGCACAAGTGATGTCAACTTTTCATTTAACAGATGTACATCTTCTCTAATTTATTCAAATAACATTTACAGGGCTGCAAACACCCTCTTCAAGGCACTGCCCACATTCAGTCCTGCTTAGCTACAGCACAGGATGAATCTATAAGGACCTTTTAACCTCTTGTACCTCAGAGCAGTCTGGTCTTCAATACATAGCTGGGCATCTTTCTTTCATATGCTTCACTGCCTCTTCATTGTATCTTTTCTTTTTATGTACTACACTGAGAGCATACGCACCAAGACATATTCCTTGTGTGTCTAATCATACTTGACCAATAAAAAATTCATTCATTCATTCATTGATGACTGAAGAAAATCAGATTACCTTCAGTATTTTTACTCATTTTATCCTGCCTTTATTATTTTTTATAAATGGCTCAAGGCAACAAATACACCTGATGCTCCTTCGTTCTCTTATTTTCCTTACAACCCTATGAGGTGAGGTGAGCTGAAAGAGAGTGATTGGCTCAAAGGCACCCAACCAACCTTCATGACTAAGGCAGGACTAGAACTCACAATCTAGTTTTCTAGTCTGATGCCTTAATCACTAAAGGCCCTTCAGTGCCCTTCTTTCCTAAAAGATCAAAGCACACATCACCAGGGTCTTCCCTCACTACACCTTAAATTTTCAAACCAGGTTTTAACGTGGGCCACATTTGCTAGCTAATTGTGACCCACATGCAGTATAGTCAATCTAATTATGGCTTGATAACTGATCCCATATTGTGGATTCACACGAAATAAAGAACTAGGCACATAAGCTCAATTCACACACCATGCTAAGGGCAAATGTAGGCAGCTAATTTATAATTTGGTGTGGTGTGCGACACATCCACTAACTCTAGCTGCAAAATGGCTTGCCAGGACTCTTTCCATACCACCTACCTTCCAAATAGGCTGTCACCGGTAGTTCTGTAGTCCCACTTTTCCCCCCCACTCTCTTTAGCACATACTCTTAACTTAAATCAATTACAACTGGAAAATAGGATTACCTAAACTGTTTAAAAAAATTGTTTTGGTACACGACACACACACACACACACACCGCGGAGCCCGGATCAAAGCCAACATGCAGCAGTGTATATCCTGGACTTCCCAGCTCGCCCCACATGCAAAAACTGCGTTCAGTGCTAGATCTCACGTGCGGGGCCCAAACCCAGAACTGCTTTCCAATCACCAGGGCTAGACTCTGGAATACGAGCAGAGTGCCTGCCCTTTGGGCAAATATTTGGGGGAGGTGGTGGGGAGGGTCGTGATATTTCGTCCGAAAGGAGACGCTGCGCTAAACGCCGCTCAGCTTACGGGGCATCTTGGTGAGGATGTTGCGCGGCGCTCTCCTGCCCCGCGCCCTCTCTCTCTCCGCCGCTTCTGGCTTGGGCTCCTTGACCAGCATGAGGTTGCGGAGCCGTTGGAGGCGTTCGGGATCGTCGGGGGCTCGGCCGGCCCGGCTCCGAGCACGCGTCCCGGCGGAGCTGCTGCTGCGGCCGGCGGCTGTTCGCGAGCGACCCGGGGCGCGGAGCAGGCCGCGTTGGAAGCTCTCGTACTCGGCCAGGTTGTTGAAGCAAGGCGCGGCCGGGTAAGGCAACGGGGTGCGCTCCGAGTACAACGCCAGCAGCGGGTCGAAGCGCGGTGAGCTCACGTCCAGCCGGCCGGGACTCGGCGATCGCTCCGACCTGCGATGCCCGCTTGAGTGACGCCGGCTCCTTCGCCGCCTGGCCTCAGCCCCGGCCTTCTCCGCCGCCGCCTCCTCCTCCATGTCTCTCCCGCTCTTGCCCTGTCCCCGGCCCTGCTGGGAGGGGCAGGAAGAGCCGCCCGCAGCGCGTTCCTTCGCCGCTATGGGCCGCCCCAGCCCCGCGATTGCACGGCAGGTCCCTTCCCGCCGCCTCTTGATGTTCTCTCGGCAGAGCTGGCCCTCCGGAAAGGGCGCCTCTGGCTCTGGGTCGGCCGGCTGGAAGGAGGACCATTGTCCCCCTTCATTCATCTGAGGAAGGGATGGAACTCACGGTTCTCAAGATATCGCATTCCCTTCTTGAGGCTGCGGATCACTTGGCCGCGCGGCTAGGAAAGGTTCAGACCGCGGCTGCTTTGCATTTGAGCTGGTCTTTTGTGAGCCCAGCCATTGGGTTTATTCACTAAATCATAGTAGAAACAAATGAGGGCTACTGTAAACCATGGTATAATAACATGTGCTGAGCACTGGGTGCAGAGGAACAATCAAGGATAATCAGGCCATGCTTTTTTGGATGCGAAGTAGATTCTGGCCTGGTTCGTGCTTGGCTAAGGTATTTCAGGGTTGTTAACTTGAGCGGTCAGGTCTGGGTTGCATTACACCAAATGGCCACTAGATGGCAGTTTCCAAGGTTCTTTGCTGCCATCTATGAGCTTTCCGGATCGTTTGATGTTCAGCTAGATTTAGGGGAGGTGGGGGGGACTGGATGGCAGAAATGTCAAGCATTTTGATAATGCTGTCAAACAACTGCATGGATAGTGAGTAGTAGTTGAGGTCTCTAAGTGCAGTAATTAAATTAGTCTGTAATATCAAGTATTAGTCTGTAATATCAAGTATTACAACATTTGTTTTTCCAATTTGCTTCTTGTTTCAGGCAATTCTATGTAGAAATGGAAAATAATTGTATGCTAATATGCCTTTGATCTTGTATAAAGTATTTGCATATATGCATTAGTAAAAGCCAGTAGATAATTTTCACAGAGTTACAGAGCTAAACATTTATTAAAGGCTATTAACCCATTTAGAAAAGAAGGCCATTTGCTGACAGTGATAAGGACACCTTAAGGACTATTTGAACTGTCCAGTAGGAACTAAAATAGTGGAGATGCTAGGCCAGATTTACTGAACGTAATATGATACTCTGATTCCTACAACCTTCAGAGGTTGGGTCTAAAGTTGTGATTCAGTCAGCTGCTAACAAGGAAGTTAGTGATTGTGCTAAAGATGAATTTTTGTAAATATTTATTTATTCAACTTCTAGAGGCTCATCTCTATCAAATTCAGATTCTAGAAGATAACCATAAGACCATGCAGTAAAGTTTTAGCCTGTTCTGACAGAAATCGGAAAAAAGCAGCCTTGATTAATAAGCATCAAGGAATGTCTTATGCATAGGATCACCTTCCCCATCCTACCCTCATAATTGTTTTGTCTGACTAAACCTGTAAGGTGACTTATGAGGGATGAACACAATTGTTTACTGACAATTGGAAATTAGGATTTATTTTTTTTGTTTAGGTCTGTAAGAAGTCTCATGTGCTTCATTTTCTGCTTATGTCTTATATAGTGATTACTTAAAAAGAGACAAATTAGCGAGCCAAGTATATTCCACCTTCTGATTCTCAGTATGGCTGGTATAACAAAATATCACTCTGCTACTGAGAAGTTCCCTGAAATGAACTCTAGCATGAATCCAAAGACTTAAAACCTCTGGTCCCAGTGACCGATCCAGATTGGATCCTGCAAAATGTGATTCAAACAAATTTGGTTTGTAAATCCAGCAGAGATCTGTTTTGTATTGTAGAAAGGTGCTGGATCAGGAATTGGTTAATACAACCACTGGCTAACAAGTGGCCAGCTTGTTTTTGCTTCAGTGTGTTATGAAAACACAGCTGCTTTTTGTTGTTGTTGTTGTTGCTGCTAATAACCTGGAGCACCTTATGGAAAGCAGGAATACAAAAATCCACCTTGCATAGATACTTTGCCTATTATTCCTGCTAAGCTCACTACAAGTATTGTGGATTGCTGACACAGATACAAGAGCTCATCATTTTTGGAAAGCACATTACTTGTTTCTTTTTACCCTTTTAATGTTATTTTAACTATAGTAATGAAGACACTTGTCACTTCAGAAAAAATAAGTACATTTTTTTCCCCAAATGGCTTTAAAATGGTGCCAAATGCCTATTATTCTAAATTATTACCTTTTAGAGCAAATTCACAAACACTTAAGAATCCCCTTAAACAGCTCTATATAAAACCTAGCCACCAGGCCAATTTTTACCCAAATCTCACATTTGTCCCAATGCCTCTATCCTTTTTGCTGCTGGGTAGCATGACCTTTGAAAAGGCAGAAGAGTAACACAACTCTTTGAACTTCACATCCCAATACAAGACTTTCAGTAAGTTGGTTGCCACAATTCTCAACAGCAGGAACTGGATAGTTTCCCAGGCAGCAGCAAAATGAGAGCATGACCTACAAACACACCCTGCTGCGCTATCTCCCTTATACAATAACATTACTGCTCTTGGTTGGCCACCTGAGACCTTGTCTAATAATCCGAAATGCAGCAAGGAGAGAGTCCAAATAATAAATGTTCGATTACAGAGGGAAATTATGTTTCCATAGCTTTCAAAAAGGCCGGAACTAATTTACACTTGAGAGAAAACTTCCTAATTACTTTCTGCTACTTGCCAGGGTATTTTGTTTATCACTCATATAATCCAGAGACATTAGCAACTAGGATAATTTGTAACTTGGCTCCCTGATGATAGAATTTAATTTGAAGGAGTAGTCTAAATGTTTTCAGAGTTTTAAATGGGCAACTTAGCATCTCATGAGACCTACAGCAGTAGAGTTCTTTTGAGGGCCAGAGAAGAAATTAAAGGCATTCCTTTTCCAGTGTAAAGTTTAAGATTATTTTCAGCCTACTTGTAATTTTAATAAAAAAGTATTTATTTATGAACAATACCTGGATTTTTCATTTGTTCACTCAAGTAAAATGGCCATTACAAAATACAGGATTATATCTTTTCCCCACCATAATGCAGTTCTTGTAAAATAGGTTCAGACTAAAATGCAGATAGGAAAGGTCACCTCTTGTCAAGCAGGATTTCAGGATTGTGTTCCCAAAATTCATTTCCAATAATATCACAATGCAAAGGAATTGGCCTATTTCTCTTCTTGATTTCTTCAATTTCCTTCTCTTCTGTTTCCCCTAATTTAATTTTTTTCTTACTGATTTCATCTACCTAGGAATAGAAATACAAATAATATATTAATAACTGAACTTTTAAAAATCTATTCAGAATTTAAGGCTTTTAGAGTTGCAGTGTTTAATATATTAAATCAAAGCATCACTTTCACGTATTAGACTATCATTGTAAAATGGCAGACTTCATCTTCAAAGCATCTTCATTCCACTTCATTGAGAAGAGAATGATTTTTTTCAACATGTTTTTGACATGCAGTGGCTAAACTGATACATAATGTTAAGCCAGGAACCGGGAACCTATAGGTAGCATCCCCCTCCCCAACCTTCTCTTGCAGTCTTCAAGGAATTGCCTCATTCCCAAAACCACACTGCCCAAATCCGGCATCAAATCATTAATGACATAATTTCCAGTAGGGGCAGAAGGAAATAAAAATGTGTTAAACTTCAGAAAACCTTAACATGTTCTAATGAATTCCTATGAAAGTAAAAGAATCGCACCTTGAATGGCAAGGATGGTGAGTGTCGTTATGTTTTCACTTATAGCACCTGGCTGCAGAGTATAGGGCAAAAAAAAAAAAAAAGTCTTGTGGCATGCAAAAAGCCATACCATGACTTAGTACTATAATTTGCTGATCTGTATACTTAATTAAATCAGCAAGATCTAATTCGTATACACACAGTATTCACATTCTTATGCAGGACTGGGGAATCAGTGTCCTATAAGATGTTCCATAATTGAATGCCCATCTTTCCACAAGAGGCCAGATAAGCTATGGCTAAGAGTACAAATAATCCTAGAATTATGATGGCTATTGGGACTAGGATTGCCATTGCTAAGCAATCAGCTGTAAAGAACAATGTCATGTGACTATCCTCACTTAGTGAGGACAATCTGGGAACTCCTAGTTGCTGTCATAACCCCAAGATATGTGGGTTATTAAGCAGTGGAAGTCCCAGGTAAGGGAGCTCCGAGGTTTATGGGGGAATCTGAGAAGCCCAGCACAGGCCACATGAGCCGGGGAAGGGCCACACAAGTCAGAAGTGACTGGGAGAGGTGCCAGAGACTGTGTGACCTTCCCTGCCAGGTTCCCCGTTGTCTTTGCTTATTGGAAGCTAGCAAGAAAAGTCACAAATGGCAATCACATGACTGTAGCTTCCTGCAACATAACCATCAGTCAGACATCCAAATGCTTCGGTCATAATAATTAAACAACATGGGGGTATTGCCATTGATGAAGCTTCAGGGACTGATTGCACGTCCATATTTTCAGCACTGCTATAATTGAATGGTTGCTGAACAAGTGGATGTAAGTTGAGAGCAATCTGTAATTGGAACTGCACGTCATTTTCTTGAATTATATTGTACAGCTAGTCGTCAACAACAGTTCATTTAGTTCAAAGTTACAATGGCACTAAAAAAAAGTGACTTACAACTGTTTTTCACACTTACATGTATCCCTGTGCTCACATGATCAAAATTCAGTTGCTTGGCAACTGACTCATATTTATGATGGTTGCAGTGTCCTAGGGTCATGTGATCATCTTTTGCTACCTTTTGACAAGCAAAGTCAATGGGGAAGCCAGATTCACTTAATAATCATGTTACTAACATAACAATTGCAGTGATTCACGGCAAGAAATGTCATTAAAAAATGGGGCAAAATTCACTTAACAACTGTGGCCAGAAATGTCGTAAAATGGGGCAAAATTCACTTAACCGTCTCACTTAGCAACAGAAATTTTAGGCTAAACTGAGGTTGCAAGGCAAGAACTAGCTGTATGTTATGTTCAAATAGGAAGAGTTCAATGAAGACAAATAGGAATTT